ACTCTCTCCAACATAGACAAGGTAGTGTAAAACTCTCTCTTACATAGACAAGGTAGTGTAACAACTCTCTCATGGATAGACAAGGTAGCGTAAGAACTCTCTCATGGATAGACAAGGTAGTGTAACAACTCTCTCCAACATAGACAAGGTAGTGTAAGAACTCTCTCATGGATAGACAAGGTAGTGTAACAACTCTCTCCAACATAGACAAGGTAGTGTTACAACTCTCTCATGGATAGACAAGGAAGTGTAACAACTCTCTGATGGATAGACAAGGTAGCGTAACAACTCTCTGATGGATAGACAAAGGTAGCGTAACAACTCTCTCATGGATAGACAAGGTAGTGTAACAACTCTCTCATGGATAGACAAGGTAGTGTAACAACTCTCTCATGGATAGACAATCAAGGAACTATCAAGAGTCCTGCCCATCATAAAGAAATTATTATTGACAATTGATTATTTCGTTTTGGAAACTCACAGTAAGTTAAGTATGTTTTAAATCCAGTTAGCTTTCCAGTTAATTATGCATTCACCGGGTTGTGTGATTGTATGAATACATTAAAGGGGAAGTGTACACGATAAAATCACATTTATTCTTATGTGAACCAAAGTGAAATATTTTAATTATTTAATATCACTGTTTGAGATGATACACTCATTTTTCTTACAATGACAGTAAAACCCTCAAAATAAGTGCTGAAATGTTATGCCATATGCGGCCCTAAATGCCGAGCTAAACAGGTCAGAGTTACCGCCCTTCGATTATGACGTAATTGGTGCCACTTGATTTTAGACTGGTCTCCTGTCTAGTCCCAAATCAAAAATAATAATACTTGAAATTAATCACGTGAGAAAAGTTTGTGAAAATACAGAAAGAAGCATAAGAACTGAAAATGTAATCAGCAGGACAGATTGATAATGTGTATTTTCATTCATAGCCTCACCTCAATGAAAATACTAAATATGTTTAACAATGTTGACGTACGTATGACATCACTATCGGGAAGTGACACTCTCAAAATGGCGTGTTCACTGACATGAGTACATCGGATTTTCGACGGAAAATTTCGTTGTTTCAAGCAACGTATATACATAAATGTGACATGTAAGTAGTCCGAAACATTCTGATAATCTGCTGGTTGTTATTCTCCTTTGTTTTCATTGTGACCAGGGGTGGAGAATTTCCATCGTGGGTGTTCGTGAGTTTGCGTCAATCATGGCGTCACGCTTTCAGGAACTATAATATGTTGTGATGAATCTCGAAATCATTGAATACACCTATTTTATTTAACTACCGCTTGCTACTATACCATTCCCGTGCATGGTATAAAACTAACGAGCAAGTGTATGCAAACAAAAGTAGGCGAACAGATACACAGTGTAAAATCTGAGATTTACTTTGTTTACATTTCAAACAAGTGGTCCTTTCCCAGCGCGGGATTTCACTGAAACACTTGGTATTGGTGACAAAGACCATTTGTCATTATATTTTGAACTGTATGAGGAATTCTTGGATTAGTGTAAGTGCACGTGTGACGTTATTTTATAAACTCTCTGCAATATGGCTGAAAATTCACTTTGACGTTAACTGTGCGTATTTTCAAAACATTCTCAGCGATTCTCTAGCTGTTGTATCGACAATGTTTCAGAACGAGCACTGGTGATTCGATCAACAAAAAAATTAAAAATACCGCTGATCACAATGATACGGGTTCTTGGGTGTGTTATTTTTTTTTTGTCTCTTAAATTCAATTCTCCAAGCAAAATTTGACATTTGAATTATGACATCAGTACTATAATTTACGCAAAACACAGTGAATGGGGATTTCGTAATCTGTCCAAACTGGCCAGATTTACGATGCATGTAATTTTCAGTATACTTGTATTTGCCTTTACAATGGGCGTCATAGAAATGGTATCGTAGAAAAACGAATTTCAAACAGAATTAACAACTGCCACTTTCATTTATCTTCGGGATGTATTTGGATAATTGTGGTATCGATAGGTAGGAAGAGTGGATATATAATAATAATAATAATGTGTCGTATTTATATAGCGTCAAACTCCACACTAGGTATGCTCATAGCACTAACAATCGAGGCCCGGATAGCTGCCTGTTAGGCGCTAGAAGGTTATAGTCATATGACTTTTTTCCACCGGTACCCGTTTTCCTACAGGGTGAACAGAGGCAATTTTGAACAAACACACTTGCCTAAGGCGAGACCACATGTATCACATGTGCTTCGTTGAGGACAGGACTCAAATCCTAGAAACTGTCAGGAGTCAAGCTGCCAAACACGGTCACCCATCCAAGGACTCTCCGAGCTCGACGCTGCTTAACTTCACCGATTTGTGACCTGGGTGCCGTTCCACTAACCGATCTTAGACCTATGCCAATCGTAAACCCCTAAAATCCCAATCTTAGCGTGACGTTACGATCGGCATACCGTTCCATTAACCAATCTTACCTAAGTCAATCGTAAAGTTAAGATTCAAAGTCTAAGTTGCTCATGACCAACTTAGGATAGCTAAAATCAATCGTAGAGAAACCAAAATGGTGGCTTTCCCTATTCTATGTGAAAATAAGAGCGAGCATTTCACCGTGAGCGTCCCCTAAAATCCCCCATGAAATGAATTTGTATATTTCTGTGATGTAAACAAACACTGCAACGAAGCCTTACAAATGTCAGGCCAGTCTGACCACTGTCGTCATGGGAACACAACCGAGCGAGTCGGTGTGACACATTTGTACAACAATATTGCAACGTCATGGTTAAGAATAACGACAGCCGTGAAGTGAACAATTTTTCTGAAGTTAAAAGATACAAATATGTTTGATTTCACTGCGCATATTTGGTGGGGATTCTAAAGGCAAGCCGCGTGTGATTCAAGATTAAATTACATTTGTGACGTCATTCCATTGTCTGCTCGCTCCATTACTTTTCAGGAATGGAGCGATGTGTACCAGCTTCAAATTAAAGACTTCATTTTGTCATTTTGACATATAACTTTGATAACAGAAATATTCCCAATACTTTGAATGTAATTCTAAGTAGGGTAATATCCTCGTAACAATGTGCCTCTCGCACGAAAGAGTCTCGATCTAAGCTTGGATCGGATCGTAAGATCGGGACCGGCTACGATCGGCCTAAGATCGGTTAGTGGAACGGGTGTAACTTTTAGCTAAGACGATTGTAAAATTGGCGTAACTTGCTAAGATTGATCTTAGATAAGATCGGTTAGTGGAACGGCACCCTGAGCTTTAAGCACAGGACCACGCGCCACCACAAATATATATGCAGGAATCAAGTAACAAACGTAGAATGCCGACACATTCACCGATGGCAAGCTAGGTGTAGTGCATAAACGCTTTAGTTTTTGTGAAAAGCGATACTGTTGAATGACGACCGACTCCAGTTTGAATGTTGTAGTATTTGGTTACGTGGGTGTTTGTACAATGTATACTTTTATTGTATACAACTGTAACGTCATCTCAGTGTGCAACTGATCACATAGCCAGCTGACGGCCAGCTGGATTAAAACAGTAGCCTGCGCATCGAGACACTAGAACCACACCTATATCTGCGCCACGTGAAATGTGTCTAACAACGTCATTCGTTTATCTGTTTGGCACCAATGACGTCATTTCCAAGGGACATAAGCCATGGTGTGTTTACTTCTGGCCATAGAACACTCGGTAAATGTGGAAAATTTGAATCGATATAACGCAAAAAATAAACTAGTTACTTTTGATATTTGTACTGTTTTGTCTATAAAACTACTTGACAAACACGTTTTATGATGAGAAAGTGCAAGACAAAAAGGTTAATTTTCGTGTAAACTTGCCCTTTAAGGTGAACATTAGAATGAGCGATTGAGTTCGTTTAGAGTCATGATCATAATTTAGAAGCAGCCCATAAGTAAAGACCTAACTTTGTGTATTGTGTGAGCCAATTAAATCTCTATTTTATCGTTTAATTTTATGTACGATATTATCAATAACACATTTTCATGTCGATCATCATTAATAATTTTTCCTGTCAACAATATTTCCGATTATCGATCGTTTTAACCAGCCCAAGAGATCACTGCATGTATGAATCTCGTGCTAACTTGTCTAGATTAAGAACCACAATACTGGCAAGTCAGGATTCGAACCCAAGACTAGTTGGCTCAGTTCCCACAAACACCTAACACACGTGATGCCCAGACCTGCTCACTGTGATTACTTATCTTCCAGGGCTGCTACCAGGCTATCTGGGACATCATCAACGACAACAGCAACATCATAATGACCTTCACAATCTGTCTGATAGCAAATGTTCAGTTATAATTAATATAAATGATAGGGCCTGGGTGAATGTTGTTTTCAACCCCGCACTTAGCATGAAATTCGCTGCATTACGTAGGGTTGGTTTTGTTACATACTAACCAGATCCTCATTTGGTTTTGGGGTTGGAGAGGTTGGGGGTTGAGGTTTGGGGTTGGAGGTTGGGGGTTGGGGGTTGGGGGATGTAGGATGGAGGTTGGGGGTTGGGGGTTGGGGGTTGGAGGTTGGAGGTTGGGGTTGGGGGATAGAGGTTGGGGGTTGGGGATGGAGGATGGGGGTTGGAGGTTGGGGGTTGGAGGTTGGGGATAGAGGTTGGAGGTTGGGGTTGGGGGGTTGGTTGGAGGTTGGAGGTTGGGGGTTGGAGGGTTGGGGGATGGAGGTTGGGGGATGGAGGATGGAGGTTGGAGGTTGGGAGTTGGAGGTTGCGGGTTGGAGGTTGGGGGTTGGGGGTTGGGGTTGGAGGTTTGGGGTTGGGGGTTGGGGGATGGAGGTTGGAGGTTGGGGGTTGGGGATGGAGGTTGGAGGTTGGGGTTGGGGGATGGAGGTTGGGGGTTGGGGGATGGAGGTTGGGGATGGAGGATGGAGGTTGGAGGTTGGGGGTTGGAGGTTGGGGATGGAGGTTGGGGATGGAGGATGGAGGTTGGGGATGGAGGTTGGGGGTTGGAGGTTAGGGGATGGAGGTTGGGGCTTGGGGATGGAGGTTGGAGGTTGGAGGTTGGGGGTTGGAGGATTGGGGTTGGGGATGGAGGTTGGGGATGGAGGTTGGGGGATGGAGGTTGGAGGTTGGTGGTTGGAGGTTGGTGGTTGATGGTTGGGGGTTGGAGGATGGGGTGGAGGTTGGGGGGATGGAGGTTGGAGGTTGGAGGTTGGAGGATGGAGGTTGGGGATGGAGGTTGGAGGTTGGAGGTTGGAGGTTTGGGGTTGGAGGTTGGGGGATGGAGGTTGGGGGGATGGAGGTTGGGGGATGGAGGATGGAGGTCAGGGGGTTGGAGGTTGGGGGTTGGAGGTTGGAGGATGGAGGTTGGGGGTTGGAGGTTGGAGGTTGGAGGATGGAGGATGGAGGTTGGAGGTTGGGGTTGGAGGTTGGGGGATGGAGGATGGAGGTTGGGGGATGGAGGTTGGGGGTTGGAGGATGGAGGTTGGGGGTTGGAGGTTGGGGATGGAGGATGGAGGTTGGGGGATGGAGGATGGAGGATTGGAGAGGTTGGGGACGGAGGAGGTTGGGGGATGGAGGATGGAGGTTGGGGTTGGAGGATGGAGGTTGGGGGTTGGAGGTTGGGGTTGGGGATGGAGGATGGAGGTTCAGGGATGGAGGTTGGAGGTTGGGGAGTGGGGGGATGGAGGTTGGGGTTTGGAGGATGGGGATGGAGGTTGAGGTCAGGGATGGGGTTGGGGGATGGGGTTTGGGGGTTGAGGGCTTGGCAAATGGGGGTTGGGGGTTACAGAACAGTTCATAGTTAAGGACCTACGATGAGCCTCAACATTGGCTTCGAATACCAGATTTATTGTTATAAGGGATGTTGCCTATATTAAATTTTACATATTAACATGACAAATGCAGCAGTTTGGGCGAACCTGACACAGTCAGGCTGTATTATTATTGTTATTGTCATTATTCAGTACCATACACCTGCTTGGTACAGTTCTACTGCCTCTGTTACTAGCGATCTACGTCCAGCATCAGGCTGGCAACCCCTGATCATACTAGACTACTGGTTTAAGCGGAGTGAAGACCACCTCACTCACTCACTCGCTCACCCAGCTCACTCGCTCACCCAGCCATTCACTCACTCACTCACTGTTTTCTTCCGCAGCTCCTGATGATCATCTTCGCCTGTATAGTGTGCTGTAAGGAGAAGAAGAAAAACGATGATTATGATTATGACTACTAATACAACTACTACAACGTCATCGTCATCATCATGAACAGCAGCTTCATCATGTTCTGTACTTCATCAACGTTTCAGCATTCTTTAACGATCTGACTAGTGCATATGAGTGTCCGTGCGTCCATTGGAAGAGGACAGACCCAGTCAGGACCGGGCTGAGAAAGTGTTCACTCGATGGTCGTTCTGTTTTACTTGTGTTTGTGCTTATGTTGTCATAAGAGGCGACTAACGAGATCGGGTAATCAGACTCGCTGACACATGTCATCGAATCCCTAATCCTAGACCGATGCTCCTGCTGTTGATCACTGGATTGTCTGACCCGGCCTTGGTTATGTACAAACCGCCGCCATATAGCTGGAACATTGCTGAGACCGGCGTTAAACAACAATCAAACCAAACCTTCTGTTATCAAGTGTTCCTGGGGATTGTGGGTTAGACGTCTTGTCCAGCAGCCCCCTGCTTGTCGTAACAGGTGACCAGGATGGAGAGGTTTGGCACGGTGACTCGGATGATTGCGTATCTTCACACAATGACGATGTGGGTTGTTGCCCACAGTATCAATCACCTGATTGTCTGGTCCAGACTCGATTAGTAACAGACCGCCGACCTTGTTGCTGGAATATCACAGTGTACGGCGTTGACTACAAACCAACAAACGCAACTGTTACAATATATACCTGGTTGGAACGCGACCAAATATATCACTTGTTGTCAGAACGTTATTTAAAGAAGCTGTACAGGAGTCGTGTTGGCGCATGATGGCTGCCGCTCTTGAAGCAGAGGGCCGGACTGTCGACCGAGTGTCCCCGCTATAGTGCGGTTATGGGTCCTATACAGAAGTACGTGATTTGCTCCCATGTATGTTGCTATACTGAAGTATCCTGTTAATTGGGTTAATGTAACCTGTATATACTGTATATACAAAATAGTTTCGCTATTTCGCAAATGAAAACAATTAACAAATTATCCATAAGCATCGATGTTTTCCCCATAATTGATCGCACGTGCAGGAAAGCCCGGATGTAACAATATTCAAGGTATTTAAGCAGTTTCCTGTGATGCCCAAGTTAAGCTCGCATAAATAACATATGGAACAGACATAGTTTTTACATTTCCTGATCGACCTCAGCATTTTGCAGGCGGGTTTTTGTGTCAAGTGTTTGAAATCCTATTTTCTACGTCTGCGATCTTGTCTATTCTAGTTTTTATAATTCTAGAGTGTGACGCATCACAAAACAATGTACCGTGTCCCTTGTGCACTGAGATAAAGTCATGTGTTTATATATGAGACGATATCAGTTTGAGAAGCGAGTGTCATACACTTTTGCATGTTCTGTCTCGTGATGCATGTTGTCGTATCCTGCTGCTGGATATCGATGCTCATTATGTCAACCACTGGTCCAGACTCTGTTGTTTTCAAACGTCCGTCATATATGTCGGCTTTCTGAATGTGGAGTTAAACAATAATCAACGAAACAAACATGTTTCCCTTGTTTATATATTATATTGTTGTATCACCGGAAGTGTGGCTCCCTTCCTTCTCTGTATCCTCTACTGTCTACATGTACCGACGTGAGATCCCCCGGTATCTGTGATATATGTGTATATGCCAAGAATTGAACCATCCAATCAACATCGTCCACCGCAATATAAGGATCGGAAAGACACGGAGGTCTTCAGAACTATAATATTAAATATCTGATTTTAAGGATACTTTACCAAACCACCAAACAGCATTACCCGGCACCGTAGTTCTACTTTATATGGCGGGAGTTTGTGTTTGTATCACATCACGACTTTCTATTATGCAGAATTTATTCACTATATTTTTACATTCTGTTGTTAATTTTTGTACTGTAAAATAAGTAAAATGTTTCCATATATTCTCTGTTTGTTTTGTATATTCCTAAATCTGGATGCCCAACTGAAGAAGACCCCACCCCCACCCTTTCGAGCTCGGCTCAATGCTTATTGTAAGGGTGACGGGATTGGCTCGATACCTTGGTTGATGCAAGTCATCGTATCCTGCCTGTGCAGATCGTTGCTCTTGATATCTACCACTGGATTGTTTGCTCCAGACTTCAAAATATCAGTTCCAAGTATCGATAAGATATATTGTTCTGTTCTGTTTGATTGGCTGATTGCTGAACGACTTTTTATTGCTATTAGGAGGGTATATTTGCTGTGAGGGTATACTGTAGGTACGCTGTGAGGGTATTTGCGGTGTAGGTACGCTGCAGTATCAATAATTATGTTAATAATGAATTCGTTCATACGTGTATTATTCCTGACTCAGTACTGCAGCTTCTAAATGCCTCTCGAAGAAATTCTTGGAGACGTAGCCAACCATGAACAGACTTGCTTGACCACAATGTTCCGATCTGTATCCAAACGTCGCTATTATTTGCATACGTTTCCCGTTCATCCATCTTATCCATAACCACGACGACCTCTGAAGATCCGGGTTAGATGGTCTTCAGCAGCAGTTGCTTGTCGTAAGAGGCGACTAAGGAGATCGGGTGGTCAGGCTCGCTGACTTGGCTGATGCATGACGCTGTATCATAATGTGTGCAGACCGATGCTCGTGATATCAATCACTGAATTGTCTGGTCCAGGCTCGATTATTTACAGACCGCTGTCATATAGCTGGAATATTGATGCATGCGGCTTTAAACAAGCAAAAAAATATATATATGAACATAGTCGCTACACGGTCACATATCTGAGAGCAGAAAAAAACAACAATCTATAAGACCTCCAGAATCGGTTCCCAAACACCCCAAACGTTTTGATACAGAGGGTATACAGGGTGTCGAGCGTTCAGTCACTGGTTGTCTGGTACTGGGTATTTTCAGGGGTCCGTGATGAGACTGGAATATGGCAGCTACAGTGATAAACAATAATTACTCCCTGTATTGAGTCCACCAGAAGCGATGTGTCGATGAAAGCACGCGACCTGGGTGTCTTCTACACGTGACCGGCTGCATCCGGCGGATCTCGTACCTGTATTCTTGAGGTTAAACCTTTTGATACAAAACAGCCCAGTTATTATTATTATTATAGGATATTTATATAGCGCACATATCCACGCACTAGTGCATGCTCAAGGTAGCATTGTAGGTATACTCACTAGTACCATGATCACATACACCAGTCACTGCTGTACAGACCTGCTAGCTGCCAGGAATCAGATACCATGTGGACTTGTTTGTGTTTGTAGTTGAACACATTCCATATCAATACATCGACGAATAGTGCGTGCGTGCGTGCGTGCGTGTGTACCTTGACCTCCTTCCATTACATGGTGACCGACCTGTCTGACGACTGGATGTATCTGTAGGACCGATATGGAGAAGCACTGACGGTGGACACCACTGGATTATGTTCACTGGCGGATCTTGTTTTGGTTAGAGGAGGATTTTACAGACGCTTTTCTTGTTTTATCAATACACACTCTGCTAAAGGAAAGAGACATAAAGGTAGAAAGAAATCGAAACCGGAGTTTTGTTGATACTCATGGAAGTTGAATTCCGAATATGAATTTGTCATGTCTGCAAGCATCGGGAGTGATTTGTAGAATAAACTACGGCAAACTATGTCTAAAAAGTGTGTGAAAAGCCTTAACACGTCCTGACTGACAACGGCCTTTGGTGGAACCACGACATTCAGTGACTACACAATGCCATTTAGAAAGTGGTCAGATGTAACATATGTTACATTTGGGATTACACTTTCTTAGTAAAGCACAGATTCTAGAACGTTTGTTGCCATGGCAATGCTTAGATGTTTTTGCAAAGCAAACAACCAGAGTGCCTGCCTGCCTGTCCCTCTGTCAGTATCTCTATGTGTCTGTGTTTGACGCCCATCACGATGAAAACACAGATTCGATGAGAAGAATAGTGTTGGGACAAAACTTGAAGATAGCAAAATTTATGGTCAGGCTTTAATCTAACAAAAGAAATGTTATCCGGACATTATGGACGCCTACTATTTCAACAAACTACTGCCATGCTCTATCTGGGCGAGTCAACTTGACATGGGAGGAAAACCCGAGGTGCTGCAGTCCCAGACGTGTCCCAATGTGGTGAAAAACAGCGCGGACATGGCGGGGACAAACCTGGAGACGTGGTTCAAACTACGATCACAGGCTTCTGGCCTCTCAAAGAACGCTACTCTGCACAGTAAAGTGAGGCGCACCAGGCCCATGAGTCATCCGTTCCCCAAAAGACAAAATATTATTTTGTTGAAGGAATACTGGAAGTTATGTCTATCCCTGCATCCTTCATTTTGAGCGACAGTTCCGTGAATCTGGAGTTAGTGAGTGAGAGGGTGGTGAGTGAGTGAGTTTAGTTTTACGCCGCACCCATCAATGTTGCAGCTTTATGGTGGTGGTCTGTAAATAATCGAGTCTGGAGCAGACAATCCAGTGATCAACATCATGATCATCGATCTACGCAATTGGGGACATGTGTCAACCAAGCCAGCGAGCCTGATCTGGTTTGTCGCATCTTACGGGGGCGGTGGGGTAGCCTAATGGTTAAAGCGTTGGCTCGTCACGCCGAAGACCCGGGTTCGAATCCCCACATGGGCACAATGTTTGAATCCCATTTCTGGTGTCCCCCGCCGTGATGTTGCTGGAATATTGCTAAAAGCGGCGTAAAACCAAACTCAGTCAGTCAGTCAGTCACTCGCCTCTTACGACAAGCATGGGTTACTGAAGGTTCATTCTAACCCGGACTCCACGGGTCACGAGGTGTTATAGAAAGGTGGATAAGAAATCGACATGCACAGTATTAAACAGTGAAAAACTTTGATGTGGGGTCAAATTTGGTTTAAATATCAAATTTGGTTTAAATATCTAAGCTTATTGTAAGCATGGTTCCTAGGTTTCAGCATGTCATCGCATCTTGTGGATCCCATACCTGATATTGGCAGGTGTTGTTCATTTGTCAATGACTCGTTCCATGATTTGCAAAATGATTGATTGGTGCCATGAAAACCATTATTATGGTTACTCTTGTATCAAGTACATAAAGTTAGAATAAAGTGGCTGTCTGCCTAGACAAAGGTTGCCATGTTATTATTTATCCAGTTTTAAATGGATACAATTTCAAATTATAAATCTACGTTTAAGTAAAGTTGTGAATTTTTGTGATCCTTATCAAAGTGTGAGTAGTATAAATAAACAACCACACAAGATCAAGTATTAAAGACTACAATTTACTGTAACACACAGGTTTATGTCTATATTCGTATAAAGCTATAAAGTGGGTGTGGCAGCAGTAATGAGAAACATGCCCTACAAAATGTCTCTGTGCAATCTCGAATGTCAAGCATTACACTGCCGTATGATTTGAAACAGAAAGATGTGAGTTCTTGAATCCAGAATAGTGTTGGAAGCCGGCAGGAATTCTGTGTTCTCCGGGTACGTTGTCACTTGGTAAGAAAGGAAGATGAATGTTACATCGAAACGAACGTGAATCGGTGCAGCCAGTCTTCTGGAAACAGTCCCATCCCGAAACCTCGAGAACGATCAATTCTGTCATGTTTGCTAACAACCAAGCGAGGTAACTACTCCTGTTAAAATCACGCCACTACCTTTCAGATTTCACAGCCTTTCATGTAATGATCCTGAGAAACTGTACACATATTCCAATGAAATTTCACACTGAAATCCACGCTTCCTTCTACATGTTGATTTGTAACACTACATATCAAATTCAAAATGCATATTACTGTGAAACGGATACAGAAAACATATTCCAAACTGTGAAACGGATATACAAATAACCACAGTGTCATGTTTTTGGAAATGGTATGTATCCTGCAAGAACGCAATTGTGTGGAAGGAATTTCGCGATAGCCCTGGTCTCGTTTCACACTGAATACAGAATCTTCTTAATTCATCAAACGTAAGTGTCTATGTTGGTATAATGTTTTTGAACGTTCAAGCACTTTCACGATGCCACTGTTTGCTGCAATGGTATGTTGGTAGAAAACACAGTTTAAACATACAACCAGAAAACTACAATTATCAACAACATGGAGAGCACAGCAGAATCTCAAATACTTTTGCGATGGTGGAAGTCGATGGAGGATCAACACTTAACATCTCTTGTTGTGTAAATGTCATCTGAAACAGATTTTCTCGCTCCTCTGTTCACGAGTAAGTGGTACACGTCTTCATGATTGAAACACGTAGCTAACATGGCTCGGGTCATCCCGTTCTGTCCCACACTTTTAATGTCCGCAATGTAATGTGAAAGGACATGCTTGACCATCTCTAACAGTCCCCCCGATACAGGCCAAATGGAGGATGTTGTTACCATGGTGATCCAATAGCCCCACAGTACCGCCTTCACTCACAAGAAGGTCAAGGACATCTCTGTGTCCCCTCATTGCCGCCAACATCAGGGGCGTCCTCCCGTGCTCTCCCCTGCTGTTCACGTCCACTATGTTCTTAGAGACAACGAAATTGACAATCTTCACGTTTCTTCCAAAACTGGCAAGGTGAAGTATATTGTTACCGTCGTCATCCACTAGTGCCATAACGGCTCCTTTGTTGACAAGCAAATCAAACACCTCGTGATGTCCCTTCGTTGCAGCCAACATCAGCGGCGTCCGTCCACTCTGTTCTCTACTGTTGACGTCGATGATGTCGTGTGAGAGGATATCCTTCACTATCGTCATATGCTGCCCAATACAAGCCAGATGAAGGATGTTGTTGCCGTCACCATCCACTAGTGACACATCGCATCCTTTACTCAGAAGGAGATCAAAGACCTCTTTATGCCCATTCTTTGCTGCAAGCATCAATGGTGTTCTCCCGCAATGTCCTCTACTGTTGATGCTCACGAAGTCATTCTTAATGACATGCTTCACTATCTTCACATGCCCACCCATACAGGCCACGTGAAGGATGTTGTTACCGTCGTCATCTGGCAGTGACACGTCACATCCTTTACTGATCAGTAGGTCCAGCACGTCTCTGTGGCCCTTGTAGGCTGCCTTCAGTACAGGTGTTCTCCCGCGGTGCCTGCTGTTGATGTCAACTCGACCCTCAAACAGGAGTTGTCTCACCTTGTCGAATTTTCCCAGCCTGCAGGCATCATGGAGGGCAGTATCATCACGTGATGCATCTCGAGGAGAAGCCATTTTTGCTGTAATAGAATATGTTATTTTATTATCCGAAACTGATGTCTGAGCAAGATCAAGTGATGTCTCCTTCGAGAAATCGCTACAACAAAACGCATCACAATGCATTGCAGATCATTATGACGATAGCATCGCTATCAACAGTGAGTGACGCTTATCGGCATCATGTGTTATCAGATCAATATCACGACTGGTGACCACGTACTGGGAATCGAACTATTGTCTGCGGTGTGATCACAGAAATCTTATATAAGATTTTAATAATTCTCCAGTGTTGGTTCAGATGCCTCGTTATTTGAACCGGCGTTCATTCTAAAATCTACAATGGTTCAAATGTGAAATTTCTTATACACAACCAGTAAGGACCAGGAGGTTTTCTTGAGTTTTGAATTGTCCAGGCAGGTTTATGGATAGTTCTGGAAATGACGGTCAGGTTCATATGTAAAAATAACTCTTAGTAATTTACTTTGATTGGTTATTTCCAATCAGACTCGCTCACAATATCCTTTTCCCGTTTGTAAAAAAACATCAGACAAGCGCTGAACTGAGGACTTTTGCTTTTCAGGATATTTTTCAAATTTGTGAATTTGCATTTAAAGACAAAATTTGGCGTTCTTTCACATGTAGTTAATTTTAATTAATTAATTTGTCTTTCTCACCGACATAGACAACCACTTACATGAATGTCTATGTTATACTGAACAGTACAGTGTTGTCTTAGGTGGAGGGAACGTGTCAATATATTGTATTACCATAGCAATGCCTTTATGATGTCGTTACGATGGTGCTGGTGCCATTCTGTTTGATCGACCGAAGCTCTGCCTGCATGAGATGACCTACACTATTGCAGGCAACACTCCAACACATCAAACTGCTATCACCATGCTAGACACTATCACCACCAAGACTGGGAGGATGATACCTCTTCTAGCCGCCTGACCCACGTTATGTCTTTTACAACTAAGTAATGCAAAAAACAAGTGAAATACATACCAACTCAACCAGGATCCCCAAAACCTTCCACGGCCGGACTCCAAGACTTGGACTTAATGTTTCAGTCGCCAAACAGTTATACGTTCCTTTAGATCATGTAGTTCTGACATTCATCTGCAACCATTCGGTGCAGAATGTATTCAGAAAAGAACGGTCGAATGAGCGTGTGTGTCTAAGGTCACCCACTACCAATGTATGAACAGACGTATATTTGTTTACTGTAAACGGACTCAGGTTCACGCATTCAATAAGTGCACACACTGTCAAGAACAAACGCAGGATATAAACACGTACTTTTAAAGCACATGGCTCTTTAATGGTTCTGTCCAAAACTTGGCGAGTTAATTAACTCATATATAATACTTGAATGTCAGCAACAAGAGACAACAAACCGGGAGACATGATCAATTGAATTGCGAACTGTAGAGGCAGTGGAGTGGAAGTGTGTCTAATCCCTTGGGATGACTTCACCTGTAGGCTGTATTGTGACATTCCCAATGGTGGTTGCCATGGACACGACAAACACAATCCGTTAGCAAAACCCTCAGGGCCCGCTTCAAGACTTACAGCTCATGACGTAGCCTACCGTCTTTTCATTATTCCAATGAATATTGACCATCTTAGCAAGAACATGTTTGTGCACTCAATAAAAAATGAAAATAATCTAATCCTTGTGTAGCGTGTCCATAAATAAAATGCGTTTAAACTCGGGCTGTTTAATGTATGTGAAAACCTTTTCCCTTATTTCATCATATCATTATGAGTGGGTGAGTGAATATGGTTTTAAGCCGCTTTTACTCCAGCAATATCACGACGGGGGGACACCACAAATGTTCTCCATATAGAGTACCTGTGTGCGGAATGGAACCCGGGCTTTCGGTGTGACGAGCAAACGCTTCAACCACCGCCCATACATAATTACGAATCTCGTCCTTAGTATGTAATATGTTTTGGTTTGGTTGTTGTTTTACGCCGCACTCAGCAATATTCCAGCAATATAGCGGCGGTCTGTAAATAATCGAGTGTGGACCAGACAATCCAGAGATGAACAGCCTGAACATCGATCTACACAACTGGGTTGTGTCAACCAAGTAAGCGATCCTGATCACTCGATCCCGTCAGTCGCCTCTTACGACAAGCATGGGTTACTGAAGGTCAATTCTAACCCGGATCTTCACGGGTAATGTAATACATAGAACGATAAGGACAACATACATAGAGAAAACGCATGACACATTTTCAAAAATAAACTTTTTTTTATTCTTTATCACGACGTTTCAAGCAAGCTGACCAACCGATCCCGTTCACCTCATGAAGGAGAATTTTTTTTCTGATAAGGAATAAGAAATTGTTATCTACAAAAACGTGTCATGTATTCATGATTGTCAAACTTCTAAGTGCTTTTCAAAAACGTCATGTCCAGTGAGTGAGTGAGTTTAGTTTTACGCGGCTTTTAGCAATATGCCAGCAACATCACGGCGGTGGAACACCACAAATGGGCTTCACACATTGTACCCATGTGGGTAATCAACCGGTGTCTTCAGCGTGACGAGCGAACGCTTTAACCACTGGGCTACCCCACCGACCCCGTCATGTCGAGGGTATATAACACTGGCAAAGCGTTGCTGTACAGCTTATGTTGCACATGCTCTGTCACAACCTATATATAACCGTTTACACAGCTAGCTGTAGAACACTCAACAATGTGCTCCCATTATGCTGTCAGTGGTGCATTGATAAATCGATAGCGTTCATTGAGTCACGTATGCATATATCCGCGCCTTCTTGGTAACGTTAACGTCTCTCACCTAAGTTGAGCTAGTCTGACAAGCGGTAATATAAGCTGAGTGATGAGTAAGATTAAACACAGGGGTTCTGAGTAATTTGAATAAATATACTATTCATACTTTGCTAAGGATCAAATCATGGATTCAACAGAAAACTATGATGTGGGTCAAATTGGATTTAAATATCTACGCTTATTGTTAGTATGTATCCTAGGTTTCAGTTCAGATCCCATGCCTGCTATTGCCAGGTGTACTTGTCAGTGACTCGTTCCATGATTTGCAAAATGGTTGATTGGTGCCATGAAAACCATTTTTATGGCTACTCATGCATCAAGTGCATAAGGTTAGATTCAGTGGCTGTTTGCCTGAAGAGGGTTTACCATATTATTGTTTATCCAGTTTTAAATGGATACAATTTCAAATTATGAATCTACGTTTAAGTAAAGTTGTGAATTTTTGTGATCCTTAGCAAAGTGTGAGTAGTATACATGCTATTCTCAGTCGTGACTTACTTTCCATTATAAAACAAGCATGTGTTCAACATACACCGGTTGGCATTGGCAACGTTGTGTGTTGTCTCTATACCTGGCTGTTGGTACTGCGTTTGTTTGGGATACGTGACTGCTACTTAATCGGACCGTGACAATGTCACGTTACACGTCACCTTCCAGTACGATCATGAAGTAAACACCTTGTATAATGAACGGGAGTCTTACTAGAGAGTTATGTGACGGGTGACAGGGACGAACTACTACACAAACCCACTTGGTTGTTGACTAGTCATTACCACACGCATGTTGCTGTTTGTGCCAAAAGCTTGCATGACATCCCGAATCGTTACCATATGTAGCTGGCACTTCTACTTAAGGCATCATGACATGACATTCGCTGGAGTCTATACACATGAATAATGCACTGGACCGAATTCGTTCAACACAGATCACAACAATGAGTTAAAGAGACGAAACTTTATTGCAAGTGTAACAAGTGTAAACGGTAAACATCAAGACAACTGACTTAGTGAGTGAGTTTGGTTTTACGCCGCTTTTGATTTAAATAATATTTATTCATTATTAAATGAACGGATTGGTAAACAGGCTATAAGCCTATAAAAATACCTCTCCGAATACAATGCGATGGGAAACATTTTATATACATTCATCATTACAGACAAGAGAACACACCATTTGAGGAGTAACACACTTAATGAAAAAGACAGTAGTATAATTAATCAATTAGGTAAAAAATCGTTTTGTTAAGGTAAAATAGTCATGTACAGATTTTACAATATTTTCATTGATTTCGTCAGAATATGAGTAACTTCCACAGAGTACAGATTGAATATTAAAACCATTTATGTAATAGAAACACTTCGATCGAATTGTATTAAAATTTGGACAGATTAATAGAAAATGAATGGCATCTTCATAATGATGGCCACAAGTGCAAGTAGTCGTATTTTGAAGAAAACGGTCAAATTTATGTGCGTTTAAGTCACTACAGCCGAGTCTTAACTTACAATGAATTATTTGATTAAATCTATTACCAGTGTTTCTGAAGACATGATGTACGTTGGATGAGACAGTTCGATCAAAGTGTTTCTTGAACATGGCAACGGAATCTATGTTTCTTATATCATTATCTAACTTGTTCCACTCCATCACAGAGGAGGGTAAAAAAGATTTTTTATATGTTTCCGTACGACATAATGGTACTTGAAGCATATTACTAGATCTAGATCCATATGTGGATACAAAGGATATGTTTATTGGAATTAGATCTGATAAATACTTTGGAGTTTTATTATGGAACATTTTATGAAATACATACATTTGGTGATTTTTACGACGTTCCCTTAATGATGAAAAAACAGTTTCATGGTAGATTTTGGAATGGCTAACTCCTCTAACTGATCCACATATGGTTCTTAAAGCATCTAAGTGAAGTTTTTCTAACAATAACTCTTATGTTTGTGTACAGTTATTCCAAATATAATCCCAAAAGTCAAAAAGTGGTAAAACAAATGAACTATACAGGGTTTGGAGGGTTTTCCTCTGAAGGCGGTATTTCAGACTTCTTAAACAATTGATCACAGGACTGACTTTAGAAATAATATCATCTATATGTATATTCCAGTGGCCATCACTTTGTAAAGTCAGCACCAGATGTTTATGAGTGTCAACAGACTTTATCGGTATATCATTCATTATAAGATCTGGCATTGATGTTACTGTTTTCTTTCTAGAAAAAATGATAGATTCAGTTTTATTGGGATTAAAGTTTACTTTCCATGTCTGGGCCCATTTAGCTATTATTTCTAAATCATCGTTTAACATATTGGAAGATACCATAGGGTAATCAATTATCACAGATAAGGATGTATCATCGGCAAATAATTTAATATTACTCTGTATATCATCAACAATATCATTGATATAAACCAAAAAGAGTGAAGGTCCTAGGACTGATCCCTGAGGCACGCCAGCTTCAATTGATTTAACATTTGACTTATACCCATTTATTACTGTAAACTGTTTTCTATTACTTAGATAACTTTCAAACCATAATAAAAGAGATCCGCGAATTCCACTAGCCCATAACTTATGCAAAAGACCCTTGTGCCAAACCCTATCAAACGCTTTACTTATATCGCAGAATACAGCGCGTACCTCCTTGCCACTATCCATCGCCTTAGCTATGTAGTCATACAAATGAGTGAGCTGGTATGATGTAGAATCACCAGTCGTGAAACCTGACTGTAATGAAGTAATAGTTCCATTATCTAGAAAAAAAATTGACACATATTTAAAAACACACTTCTCAAATACTTTTGAAACACAACTAGTAAGTGAAACCGGTCGATAATTAGTATAATCATGAACATTATTTTTCTTATAAATTGGAACAACGGATGAACATTTCCATATATCTGGAAATTGAGAAGAGGACAAAGAAATATCAAACAATTTTCCACGTTAATATCAGATTATACATTAACATCATCAGAAGAACTGTTAACCGCTGCCATACTCACAAAGTAGTCATTAAAAATATTTGCTTTCTCAATATCATCTTCATAAACAACACCATTGTGTTCAATGTGTGGAAATATCTTAGCTTTATCTGTTTTCTTAAGATAATGTTTAACAATCCGCCACCAAGATTTACTACCATGTTCTGTATTGACAACATTATCAAGCTTTTCAACATACAATGACTTACTTTTACGTATCTCTGAGATAAGCTTATTTCGACTTTTTCTAAATTTATCCCAATCATTAGGCAAGTTACTACGTGTAGTCTTTCTATGAATTCTATTTTTCTTACGCATAAGTTTTCTTATAAAT